ATTGATTGAGCTTGATTTATCGATTTTCCTGCTGCTGCATTAACTGGTTTCATTGACTATGGATTTCCACGTTGCATAGATTCATTGACCATTGACTGATATTGATTTGATTGACTGACATGCATATTGATAGCATCGCCGTGCTTTGATTTCAATTATAGGTATTAGGTGACCTGCTGGGCTTTGTAAAGCTCATTATATGTGGTTGATATTTTCAGGTCAGGGCAAGGGAGCAGAAGATAGGAATTGATCCAGATCTTCAAGTTTTTGTCTTTTGATTGATAGTGATTCTTTTGTGCTCAGGATAGATTTCAGAACTGATGATTGTAGTGTAGTTCCTGAGTTTTGTACATGACTTTTTGAGATATGAATCGACTTGTATATTGATGTTTTAAATTTCATAGATGTTTGATAGACTGCTTAATTGAAGGTTTTAGATAACTCTGGTAAATTATTTGAGAAATAGATTGACATTCTTTCCAAGTTAGATCTTGGGGCATCACACGCCCGCTGAAACCATTGGCGGCAAAGTGTTGGTGAATTTGAAATTTCCATATGGAATAATTTTCGGTGGTGAGAAGAGTAGGAACAAGATTTTTCAGATTTGAGATGAGGAATTTCAATGGCGCTGGAACCACGAAATCTTCAAAGCATGGTTGAGATTTTTGAGTCTTCTTGCGCGGAGGCCGATGAGCCTTGATCTGCTATGGACGGGAGACGAAGAAGGAAAAAGAACAAGAAGCCGCTAGGCTGTAACGTCTGATACCATGTAAGCGAAAGCTTGAAAAGGAAATTGAGTAAAATGAAAGGGAAAGATATCTGGAATTATATCAGAATGTATAATACAGGGTTGAGCCTTGTTATATAGGCATATAAGCTTGAAATGGAACCGTACATCAAGAATTGGAAATGACATAAATGTAAACCAACTATTGGGACCTAATGCCACCTGTACACATATGCTAACACATATATCTCTACTTATTAGTCATTTTATCAATCATCAATCTAATCTTATAATTTATCGATCATCTACCTTATCAATCATATCAGTATCAATCTCATCTACTTATTCAATATATTAATTCATTCAATTTTCCTGTTCTTACTTTCATCTCATATCATATATATCATAATAATTGACATCTTATACACATCATATACAACATTCATAACATATAGATCTATTCAAAATTCATGCTATGACAAATGAACTATGATCATATGCATGACATATATATCATTTATAGATTTCATACATTTTCTCCTGTTTATTTTGTACCTAATCAAAAAGTTCTTTTAAAAATTAGCCCAAACTTCTTTTATTTTTTGTATAAACTAGTATTATTTCCTATTAATCATGTGAAATTTGATTCATTTTATGCCTTATTTTTTCCTTAAAGTGAACTATCTTTTGATTAAGAGTCTCTTCTTCTTCAAACCTTATCCTTAGCTATTACTCCTCACCTTCTTTAGATTTAGGATTTTATAGGTCCACCTACTTTTGCTTGACCTCAAATCACATACTGCGCTACAAGATATAAGGCTCTTATATAGTTATAATAACCAAACTCATATTATGCAAAAAAGAAAAAGAAAGAAAGAAAGAAATTCAGTTTTATGCCAATCCATATCATATTAAGTTGAAATGTATATATTTTTTTTCCTTCTTTGTATACCTTTTCATAAGTTCACTGATTTAAAAAATGTTTCATTACAAATATGTTTAATATTAAAGTTTGTAAAGAAAGATATGACAAAATTATATATATGAGTTTTGATCTATTTATATATCTTTTTTCTCTTAGATCATATGAGTATATAAAATTGTTATGAATAATTCATTTTCCAACCTTAGCCATTCCACGCTCTCTTTGTCCGTCATATTTGAATTGCGAATGTCACATACCCTTTTTCACTGTCCGAGAAGATAGGAATTTTAAAATTTTGAATTATGACGAAGGTAGGGGAAATCTAAGAATTGTGATTAATGGTGAAAGCTGAATGATATAGGATGGCAATGAGGGACAGTTGATTATGGTTAATAGATGATATCCATTGATGATTGGCATGTATTATTTGGTAAAATAACCTAGATCATTAAATAAGCAACATCTTGGCACTAGATCTTTCCTAATATTAAAGTTCTCATTGTCAAAAATCTATCAAAATACGCAGCTCATCTTGATTTGCTCGTTAGGAGATTTGGCTATCAACATCTTAAGTTCGAAGCTTGTGTATGTGATTTGTGCGTGAATTTGTCTTATTTGACTTAAATGTCTCAAAAAAATGTTAAAATTAATTAATTAGGTTGCTTCATTAAAATAAATGTGCATAACAAATGAATCATATTTAATACATTTTAAAAATATAAATGTAAGAAGTGATCTTAATATCAAAATATTTTTATTTTTGGCAATTTAACACTGTGAATGACTAATATATTTGATTCATATAAGAACCTCGATAGGAAGGAAGAATAAGGGACTAGGAAGCTATATCAGATATTCAAATAGGCCAGAAATTAGAGATGGTTAGGGGTGCAAACGAGTCAAGTCGAGCTCGAGCCAGGGGGTGTTCGAGTCGAGCTCGATTGCCAAATACCGAGCTCGAGCTCGAAAAATGAGCTCGAGCTCGACTCGTCTCAGGAAACGAGTCGAGTCAAGCAGCTCGTCGAGCTACATCATTCCGAGCTACCACGCCGTTCCCGAGCTATGTCGATCGTCGATGACTCGAGCTCCGACCTTCGTTGTCCCGCAAACTCCGTCGAAGGCTCAAAACCACGAGTTCGTCGTCCCAAGCCGTGAGTTCCGTCATCTAGCTAAGCTCCGACGAAGCACACGAGCTATGAGCCTCCGACCTCTGTCGTCCCGAGGTGCGACAATCGAGCTCCGTTAGTTTTGTCGTCCTGCAAAGCTCCGATGAAGCACGCTGCACGCGAGCTCCGAGCCTCCGGCCTCTGCCGTGCCCCGATGAAGCAAGCAAGCTCGGAGGCTCCGTCATCTGTCATTTTGCATTTCCCGCCGTCGAGCAAACTCGTCTCCGAGCCTCCTCCATCGAGCTACTCGGCGAGCCTACGAGCCGAGTAGTGCTCTGTTCGAGCTCGAGCTCGATAAGCCATCGAGCTCGAAGTAGTGTTCGAGCTCGACTCGCGAGCTCGATAAGCTCGACTCGTCGAGCATGTTATCGAGTCGAGTCCGATCCGGCTCGCGAGCCGGCTTGACTCGGTTGCACCCCTAGAGATGGTTGATTGGTATTCTAAATAGTGGATATTGTTTTAGAATTTTGTATGAATATGAAAGTCCTCTTTGCTGAAATAAATTTATAATATGTAGAAATATGGTCTATTATATATATTATAAAAAAAAATTCAGTAATTGTATTATGATTAATCGA